GCTGCAATTTCTTAACACGGTTTGGACACCCTAACTGTGCATTTTTATCTGTTTTATGTCCAGGGCGGATTGTTGGTATGACGGCTATCCCAGTGGTCCTGGCAGCCCTCATTTGCTTCATCGTTTTTAGAAAAAATGGTAAGTTGAGGCTCCAAAACAAAAGGCGCGTTATTTCGTTATTGTTACGGTTTTAAACAAAATTTAAATTTGCTCCGATTAATTGTTCCAAACAATTGATCAGTGGAACGACTCACCCCCAGGAGTTGTGGGTGCTCTAACACTGGAGGTTTTTAAGAAGACATTGGACAACCGCTTGTATGAAGTGGTAAAGGGCTTCCTGCCTGATCGGGGAGGGGGGGGGTTGGACTAGAAGACCTCGGAGGTCCCTTCCAACTGTGTCATTCTGTTAATCTGAACTTTTTCGTAAAGTTTTAATGTTATAAAATTCTGTTTATATATATATATATATATATATATATATATAGCACTAAAGATCAAACAGAGAGCACCATCACCATGTGCTTTACTGCTTAACTGCTTAACGGTAACAGGAAAGTTGACTTGGAACAAAAGAACATAGAGTAGCAGATCCAAACTTGTAAACGCTGCCATCTAGTGGCTGGATATTATCGAAGTTGTTGCACACAAATACATTCCAACAATGAATTTTCTCTCTGGCAGGTCAAAAGTGTGTCCTCAAATGGGAGGAGAAAAAACAGGTGAGCATGGAGGTCGTCAGAGATGCCAAAAGCGAACACTGGGCTGCCAGACCCCATTTTGGGTCTGGGGTCCTGGCAGATCGATCCACCGGTGACGTTTGGCTTCTCTGTTTCCTCCCAGCCGTTCTTGCCTGCTGAAAAGTTCCCGGTGAAGTGGCCTCAGGAGCCCGCGGCTGTGGGGCAGGAGAAGGACAGCCTCTTGCGGATGTCCCCTTCCAGTTTGGGGGACCGTCCAGCCGGGTGTGAGAAAAGCAGCGAAACCAACAACGGAGACCCTCCCAAGTTGGAAACGGATAACGTTCAACAGAGATCAGTGAACACGAAGACGTGCGAGAGCACAGCAGATTCAAGTAAGACCCTTGGGGTGGGGTTAGATTGGAGGGGAGGGCATCTGTGAGTCACATCAGGCCGGGCGAGGTCGTTGTAAAGCCTAGGATTGTGAGGGCCTTGGGGTGCCCTGAGCTTTGTCTTGGAGACGTTTCATGGCCATACTAGGTGCTGGAAAGAGAGTGGGGTTGATGGAGTGGAGGAGGAGGAGGAGGAGGAGGAGGAGGAGGAGGAGGAGGAAGAAGAAGAAGACTGGGGGTCCTTGGTGCTCTCAGAACCTGATGGTTTTCCTGCAGACGTTCCTTGAACCAAACCAGGGAACCATCATCAGGGCTAGAACGAACATTAGCACTGATGATGTTACCTAGTAGGGTCATGAAACGTCTGCAAGAAGCCCACCAACCTCAAGGAGCGCCCAGTGCCTCTCATTTCAAAGCTGAGCTACAAATATCTCTTTTTCCTTTCTTTTTTTCTTTCTCCTTCTTTCTTTTTTCTTTCTCCCTTTTTGTTTCTGTCTGTCTCCCTCCCTCCCTCTCTTTCTTTCTTTCTTTCTTTCTTTCTTTCTTTCTTTCTTTCTTTCT